TGGTGCGTGCCCCTGGGTGCTCGCTGTTTGCGGGGCCGGGCGGGGCACAGTGGGCCAGCAGAAGACCGGTGGAGGCGGCCAAAACTCAAGACGCGTTTTGAGCTCCAGAGTCGCTAAATGGGACTCGAACCGAACGTGCGACCCCACCAATAGATTGCTCTCCGAACGAGGAATCCATTGGTGGGGTCACACGTTCGGATCGAGTCCCATCTAGCGGCGCTGGAGCTCAAAACGCGTCTAGAGTTTTGGCCGCCTCCACGGTCTTCTGGCCCACTGTGCGGGGCGGGGCCCTGTTTCGACTTAAGCCCCTCGCTGGCACACTGGTTGACTGGCGGCCCCACCCGCTCCGCGTTTTCCGTTTTCTGCGCGGCTTTAATTTGGAACATGTCCGCGGGCGGTGCGCGTTCGCGGTTCGCGGTATAGCGAGCGTAGTGTAGGTCACCCGGGGCCGGCCGGCGCACAGCTGTGGCTGTGGTCAGGCCGTCAAGGCCCTGGTGCAGGCCAGGCCGCGGCGCGGAGCACTACGGCCCTCTGCGGTCAGTACGCGACGCAGGCCGCGAGGCTGGACGCGAGGCTGGACGCTGGACTCTGGCTTTGCTCCGGTTTCGAAGGCCCTCATCTCGTGAACGGGCGGCGAGCGGGATACGGGCGTTGCTCGCGCGTGGGGGAACTACGTTCCAGAATTCGGCCCTACAGTGGATCATCCGCATGGCGCGTGGCCGAGCAGCCGCCTGCACGCGCGTGTCCGAGTCCAGCCGACCAGGCGCCCTGCGGGGATCCGTGGTCGCCGTCCTGCTGGTGCTTGTAGTACTGACCCCCAAACGGCTGCAATTTGGCCGAGTGGGCCGGATGTTTGGCTGGTCTTCCGGCCCCGCCCGCCCCAAGGGCCTCATTACCACCTAGCCGCGGTGCGCGCGGTGCGCGCGGAGCGGTGCCTGGCGCCCCGGGGCGTGGGAACCCGACAGCCTTTGCGTGGCGGGGCCGCGGGGCCGCGTCTTGCCCGCGAGGTCAGGGCCAAGGTCGCGGTTTGGTGCGCGCGGCGCGGCGTGGTCGAGTAGAAACCAGGCCGGGACTCCGGGACCGGCCACCCGGCCCGGCCGGGCGCACACCGGTACTAGTTTCGCGAGGAGGGAGGAGAGCCGGCCGGGCCTGTTTAAAAAAGATCCAATTTAGCGTGTCGCGTCCATGTCTCACGGGGCGCGCGTCTCGCGGGGGTGCGAGAGAGACAGAGCGGCGAAGCGGCGAAAGCACCGTTCGGACCGGCATCGGCCTGCCGGGCCCGCCCCTGCCGATGGGCGGCGCGCGTTTCGGAATCACAGGCCTGTCCCGCGTCGCTTTATTGACTTTCGCCTTGTTTGGAAAACGTGGCCTGGGTCGTGTACGTGCACTCCGTGTCTGTGTGTGTGTGTGGGTGTGTGTGTGTGTGTCTGTGTGTGCACTTCGTGTGTGTGTGCACTTCGTGTGTGTGTGTGTGTGCAACGTCATGATCGTCGTCGAGCTCGTCATCTTCTCATGGTCTGGGATTGTCTCGGCCATCAAGCCGGTCGTCCTGTCGCTCTAATCGAGCTATCAGGGCGGCGGGCACGGCGGGCACGCCGCACGCCACGGCGGGGTTCAAACGGGACGCGGCGACGACGGCGACCACGTTCATAATGACGACGGCGGCGGCGGCGGTGATGACGGAAAATGGGGACCGCGCTCGCGGTGCTATCGGCCGTCCACGCTCGGCTGGAGGCGGAGGGGGCGGGGGCGAGGCGACGCGGCCTGTGTGTGTGTGTGTGTGTGTGTGTGTGGACGTGCGTGCGCTGCATAGCTGCATCGGGCCGTTTATCGGCGCGGGATCGGGATTGACCGTCCGGGGAGGAGGGGCGAAGGTTCGGGGGATTGGGCAACAGGAAGGAAGCGGCTCTAAAAAAATCGGGGACTGATATGCACAACGTACAAAAAATGAGTGCCTTGTAAAATTAAGTAATGACACTCGCTCAGTTTATTTTGTTGTGCTGAAGTTGGATGGAATTTCTTTACCGTTTCCTAATCCCCCTGTGGGATCGAGCGAGAGGGGAAGAGAGACAGAGAGAAAGGAAGGCCTCGACGAGTGGGTGCATGGGGGAATGCACGCGTGCAGAGTACACGTCGGGGCGATACGGCAGTGCCGTGCCGTCGACCTGGCTCGCGAATCTAGCGCCGCGACAGGCGGACGGACGGACAGGCGGACGGACTCGGTGAGTGGCGGGCCGAAACGTGATGGATGATAAGCTTCGCGTCGAGGCGTGCCGTGGCGTGCCGTGGCGTGCGGTAGGCCCAATGGGCAGGCCGCTGCCCCGACGACGGCGGCCGAGCGGTGCAGCGGTGCAGTTGGACGGACCGCCGCGCCGCGTCCGCCCGGCCTTGGCTGCGGGGCCGCGGACCGCGAGGGCGGCAGGGCGGCCCGGCCCGGCCCTGCGTCGCTCCGACTCTCTCGCACCCCTACGAGATGCCGCAGGGGTGCGAGAGAGACAGCGCGACGAAAGCCCGCAGAGAGAGGTCGCGCCAGCAGAGCCAGCAGGCGGCCGGCAGGTTGGCGCCATGAATGAACCGCCACTCCCCCCCTCCCCCCCTCCCCGTCATGGCCCGGCGCGGCCCCACGCGAGTAACGGCGTGCCGCGTGCTGGCGGGCGGTCGCGGCCGTCGCGGGGGCACAGCTGCCGTCGCGTCGCCCCGCTCTCTGCCTGCAGTCTGGCCCCTCTCGCACCCCTACGGGACGCCCCGCGAGTGCGAGAGAGAGAGAGAGAGAGAGAGAGAGAGAGAGAGAGAGAGAGAGAGAGAGAGAGAGAGAGAGAGAGAGAGAGAGAGAGAGAGAGAGAGTGCGTGGTGACTCTTCAGGTTGATGAATGTGGCCAATTTGTAAGCGCGTTTGTCGCGCGCTTTGCCGCGCCGCCAGGCCCTTGGCTGGGCCGGACCCGCGGACGCGGAAATTCGAAAAACAAGAAGGGCGAACCAAAGCAGACGGTATTGCGCATGTCGAGTCGGGCGTGTGTGTTTGCTTGTAATCCCCGTGACTGACTGGAAACAGCTCGACTTGAATGGCTATTTCGGTCGCGGGCCCCCTCCCCCGGCACGCTACGCCCTGCGTGTCTGTCTGTCTGTCTTTTGTTGTTATTGTTGTCGCGTTGTCTCGGCGCGTCGTCGAACGCGCCGCGCTCTGGCTGTGCTTGGGCTTATCAACACGTGTGCGTGCCTGCCGCCTCGCCGCGCCGCGGCCTCCCGGAACTTGTTTTGGTGCGCCTCGTCGCTGGAGCTGCACGAGCTGCACATGGCGGTGGTGACCGCGCACCGCGTCGTTGCACAGTGGGCCAGAAGCCGGCGAAGGCGGCCTAAACTCTCGACGCGTTTTGAGCTCCAGAGTCGCTAAATGGGACTCGAACCGAACGTGTGACCCCACCAATGGATTGCTCTCCGAACGAGGAATCCATTGGTGGGGTCACACGTTCGATTCGAGGCCTGTTTAGCGACTCTGGAGCTCAAAACGCGTCTAGAGTTTTGTCCGCCTCCACCGGTCGTCTGGCCCACTGTGCGTTGTGTCGCCGATAGCAGAGTGCTGCGGCGTGCTGCTGCGGCGGCCCTCCCTCCTTGTTGACGCGCCTCTTGGCCGCGGCGCGCGGCGCTGCTACTTTGTGCACTTCGCTTATCTCTGTTGGTGTGCACGCCTTGCAGTGTGCCGTCCGTTTTGCGGTGGCGCGGCGCGTGCGTCGGCAAGCCTCTGGCGGCCTTTGGCGGAGCGAGCGTGGAGCGCCGTGCTGGGTAGGCAACCCGCCGCGGGGCTGTGCTCGGCGGGGCGGCCCGACCAGCACGGCGCTCTCTCTCTCGCTCGCTCGATCGCACGGACTAGCAGGCACTCCGTCTCTCTCACACGCGACGTATGGGAGTGCATGGCCGCGCATGCATGCGTTGGCGCCTGTTTCTGTTCTCGATCACGACCTCCTCCGCCTCCGGAAATGCGTGCCCGCCGTGTCCTCCCTCCTCCCCGCCGCCCTCGTCCGACGGCCCGGCGGCCACGCGGCCACGCCCCGGCGCTGCTCGAGCTGGCCGACAAGGCGGTGCCGCGGTGCCGGCGGTGTTGCTCGTCCCGTTCTATTGTTTTGTTTGCCTCGGTTTCTGCCTTTCTGCCCGCGTCGCCTCCCACACCTACCAGCTAAAAATAATCCGTGACACCTCTCTGGTGGCGAACCGGCGGACGCAGCGCTGTGTCCGTCCGTCCGTCCGTCGCCGTCCGCGCGCCTCGGACGCGCACTCGTTGGCGTCGCCCGGCTCAGCTCGGCCCCGCTGCAGACTGCCTCTCGCACCCACACGGAACGCCCTTCGAGCGCGAGAGAGACAGCTGGCCGTCCGCGTCGCGATCGCGGGGCAAGGCGAGTCGGCTCTGCACAGTGGGCCAGAAGCCGGTGGAGGCGGCCAAAACTCGAGACGCGTTTCGAGCTCCAGAGTCGCTAAATGGGACTCAAACCGAACGTGTGACCCCACCAATGGATTCCTCGTTCGGAGAGCAATCCATTGGTGGGGTCACATGTTCGACCTGAGTCCCATTTAGCGACTCTAGAGCTCTAAAACACGTCCGGGATTTGAACAGCCTCCACCGGTCTTCTGGCCTGGCCCACTGTGCTCTGCCCGTTTACTTATAATTAGGAATCGGGCCTATCGCGGGCCGAGCCGTGCTGAGTGAGACCGTGGGAAGGCGGGACGGCGAGGACGCCGTCGAGGAGAGGAGGGTCCAGGTGTGAGATTCCGGGCCCTGGCAGCCCTGGCGTGCCCTGGCGCCCGATGTGTTGAATGTGTTGTTTGCGCGGGAAAAGTCGGAGTAAACTGAAAGAAAACGAGAGTGTTTGTTTCGACGACCGCCGGACTCTAGGACGGCATAACGCTTATCTGTTTTCTGACGGACGCCCCGCCAGCAAAGGGCGTACTCGGAGTGTTTGAACCCGCCACTTCGTACTTCGCTGACGATGGCCGTCTTCTGCTTGCAGATGTCCGCGTGCAGCTGGGCGAGCAGCTGCGCTGCCTGGACGGCCGCCTGGAGACTCAGGTGGCGCTCGTGCAGGAGCTGCAGGACTACTTCCGGCGGCGCGCCGAGGTGGAGCTGGAGTACTCGCGCGGCCTGGACAAGCTGGCCCGGTCGCTGACCATGCGCCACAAGGAGCAGAAGCTGAAGCGCGAGCAGTGGCCGCTCTTCTCGTCATACTCGTGCTGGCAGCAGCTCGTCACGGTGAGCTTCGTTTGCAGTTTCTGGCAGGCCAGGCCCTCGTGCCAATCTCCTACTAGCACCTGGAGGCTGCTGGTTCTCGACAGTTGATGGGATGCACAGTGGGCCAGAAGACCGGCGCAGGCGGCCAAAACTCTAGGCGCGTTTTGAGCTCCAGAGTCACCAAATGGGACTCGAACCGAACGTGTGACCCCACCAATGGATTGCTCTCCGAACGACGAATCCATTGGTGGGGTCACACGCTCGGTTCGAGTCCTGTTGAGCGACTCTGGAGCACAAACCGCGTCTAGAGTTTTGGCCGCTCCACCGGTCTTCTGGCCCACTGTGGGACGCCCCGTGTGGGTGTGAGAGTGTCGGCGAGGCTGCCTGTGGCTCTGGCTCTGCTTGACCTGCTTCTTGTCCTCGCAGAGCACCCGCACGCTGAGCCGCGACCACGCCAGCCTGGCCGACGTGTACACGACGCAGCTGGTGCCGCGGCTGGCGCGCGTGGCCGAGGACGTGCAGCGCATCTACCGGCGCTGCCGCGAGGTGGGGCAGGAGCTGCACGACGAGATTCTGCGTGTGCTGCACGAGCTGCACACCACCATGAAGACGTACCACTGCTACCAGGGCGAGATGCGCGCCGCCGAGGGCAAGCTGCGCCTGGCCGAGGCCCAGCGCGTCAAGCTGGAGCAGAGCATCTCGGCCGAGAAGCTGCCCCGCTCCAAGAAGTACCGCCTCATCGAGAAGGAGGTGCAGAAGGTGAGGCCGAGGGCGCCGAGGCGAGGCCCAGCTTGATTCATTTACTTGATTTCTGCTGTCGGAGGAGATGCAAGCCCCAAAAAACGTCGCATCTTGTAATAACTTCTGTCACTAACTGAGCCTGTTGTTTGTTTGCAGCGGAAAAACAAATTCAATGACGCCAGTCTTAAGGCTCTGAAAGCCAGGAATGAATATGTGTTATGCCTTGAAGCAGCCAACACAACAATTCATAAATATTTTGTTGATGACTTGTCTGATCTTATAGATGTTAGTACTCTTGTGTGTTGCTGCTTTGTTAAGTCCAGTACATTTTATGTCGTAAAGTTTTAACTGTTTGGTTTGTCTTCTTTTCAGTGTATGGACTTTGGCTTTCACCAATGTGTGACCAGAGCATTACTCTTACACATGTCCCTCGAGGAAGGAAGAATTAGATCATCACAGCTGCAGTCTGATCAGCTTAATTCATGTATCAATTCTCTAGATTCTCGATTAGATAAGCAAAGATTTTTGGAAAGTAATCATACAGCTTTTGTTATACCCAAGAAATTTGAGTTCCAAGGCTTACGAAGTGATGAGGTATGTTTTTAATCATTTATTTCAACAAAATTTTTATACATGTTTTTATGCAAGTCCTCAAGTCCTTTTAACTTTACTCTATTTTCAGTTGGTTACTGTTGACAATGACTTACTACCAGCCTTAAAAGATGAGTTAAAAGCAAGACTGTATCAACTTACCAATCGTATAATGAGCCTTAGAGCAGAGTCGGAAGAAGTATGGAAGACCTTAGAAACTGCAGAAACTACTTTATTAGCAATGATCACAGCCAAAGATTATGACTGTTCAGCACTCTTCACTGGAAGTGCAGACATCACTCCTACACCGCCAACCCGTCCGCCTGAAACGGTAGCAATAAAAATGCGTGCTGATCGTCATGAGACTGAAGAGTTTTATCTGTCTGTTAGTATTCCTCATTCAATTTCCAATCTACCTTGCAGTGTGGTATTGATGTCCTATATTGATCTAAATTTGTTTCTTCTTTACAGAAATTTAGAGAATACCTTTTGGGCACCAGCCGAATAGCAAGACTGGATTCTAAGCATGAACACATTCGTCAGACACTCGTTAGTAGTGGAGAAACCAATGAGAATATGCCATCAGTCAACCTCAACATGAGTCTTACAACAAATCAAAATGTAAGTTGAAAATATAATTTTATCTTCAATTTTGTTTCTCTTGTTCTTTCTTTAACTGATACACGATAATTTATTTGCAGGGACAACCAAACAGCACAAAGCCAATTCGTAGAAAGCGCATTGGCCGGCTGCAGATGAATGGGCAGCCTAAATTGTTTGGCGGATCCCTTGAAGAATACTTAGAGATGTCAAACCAAGACATACCCCTTATTGTGAAAAGCTGCATTAGAGTCATCAATTTATATGGCAAGTTTTTCATTATTGCTAATTCACTACCAAAAATTTGTTCATTTGTAACTTGATTTTAATGACTTTATATCTGTTTGTGCAGGTCTTCACCATCAAGGCATTTTCAGAGTGTCTGGATCACAAGTTGAAATAAACAATTTCCGGGAAGCATTTGAGAGGGGGGAAGATCCACTAGCAGACACAACTGATGCTAGTGATATAAACTCTGTTGCTGGTGTCCTCAAACTGTACCTCAGAGAACTGAGAGAACCTCTTTTCCCCATTGTGTACTTTGAACTTTTTATGGAACTTGCACGTATGTATTACTTATTTTCTTTGAAAATCATGAGAGTTGCTCTATGTAGAGTACTAAGCGTTATCCCTTTCTTTTACTTCCAGAACTAGATTCTAAAGAGTTCATCATCAAAATGAAGGATCTGGTAACAAGTCTGCCAAGGCCCTTTGTCGTCATTCTTAGATACCTCTTTTCCTTTTTGAATCAGTGAGTTTCGTTGTGGACTATTCATAAGAGTGTTTTTCATTTAGGCGGCTGTTTTGGTAATAATATGCTTTTTTCTTCAGTCTCTCAGAATTTTCAGATGAGAATATGATGGACCCCTACAATTTAGCAATTTGTTTTGGACCAACTTTGGTTCCTGTACCAGAAGACAAGGATCAAGTGCAGTATCAGAACCAAGTTAATGAACTGATAAAGAACATCATCCTGTACTATGAAGATATATTCCCTCCCACTAGTTCAATACCTGGTCCAATGTATGAAAAGTTCATCACAAGAGAACCTGACGATAAGTGAGTTGTGTTGAAGTCAACTGGCTAGAAACAGAATAGTTCTTTGCTCTGTAAGTACATCAGACTTAACATAAATTTCAATTGTTCTAGTGATGTTGGTGATTCCCCATCAGACCATGCACAAGAAGATGTTGATTCAGAGGTGTATCCATCAGAAGATGGTAAATTCACATTTCATTTGAAAAAGTCTTTTTTAACAGTTAATCATTGATCACATATTTATTTATTTACTGTCACATTTATTTCAGAATGTGAATCTCTTGAAGCAACAGCACAGTTTGACTTCCTAGCAAGATCAGAGAGGGAGCTAAGTTTTAAGAAAGGAGATCACTTGCAGCTCTTTACTCAAGTCTCAAATGATTGGTGGCGAGGAAGAGGAGCTCGGGGTGTGGAAGGCCTTATACCCGACAAGTACATACTTCTGAAGATAAAGTGAGTAGTGCACAACTATCTTTGTGCTATACCTTATAATTTGTGCCGTTCTTCCTTTGGTGCTTATCAAATTTATTTCATTTTTGTAGGGATGAAGAACGAGATAAATTAGAATTACTCAAGTCAAGCTCCTCAGATGAATCTATGAGAAGAAGAGCATCAAGCTCGAATGACTCTGTACTTTCAGGAGCCTCTGGCTCTACACAAAACGACTCTCCACTGCTGGGTTCAGGCAGCAGTGCTACATGGCCTGCACTGGGGGTACTTGGTGGACTTGGAGGTCGCTCTCCCACTTCCCTGGTCGTTTGTGACCCTCCACCACCACCTCTCCTATCTCCAACAGCAGAGGTACTGGAAACAACTGTTTAGCTTGTTTTCTCTAAACCATTACTTCTCATTAAAAGAGTTGTTTGTGTTTTGTTTGCTGGGCAACAAAAGAAACATAATGTCAAGTGTGCTTCTTATGGGTTATTTGTTTTGTTTGCATCATCCTTTTCTGTTAGAAGCCCACTGCAACCATTTGTAATGTGCTGCTTTAAATTTGATACAAAAGCAGTATTTTGTTACGTATGGTTGCTTGTTTGAGGTAATGAGAAACGCGAGGGTTACAGTATTTGGTTCTGCAAACTCTCAACTTTAATTGCTATCTGAGCTTTTTTTTGTTTTATTTTTAAAGTTGCATACACTACAATAGCTGAAAAGAATGTTTCTCATCATCTCAAATTCAATATTCTGTTTCTTCTGCTATGCTCTTAACTGCGTGGAGGTGTCTGTATGTTTTCTGTGTGTTTGTAGATTCATGTGTTTGAATGTGTGTTTATGTTGTAGAGCGTTACTAGTATTTTTATTTTTTGTTTGAATCTCTTAGTTTTACTTTTGACGCATGCCTAAACGGGTTACCAGACTTTTTGATTCAGTAGAAGGGTCATTTTCTGCTTGGGGCAAGTTGTAGTAGATTTATTCATTGCAATTTCTTGTCCACATCCAGTTTTATAAATGAAACCTGTCGCAGTGTGAATTGGGACATGGTTCCGAGAGGCTTTCTTGCATTCTTAGTGTGTCGTAGTCAACTTGCCTCACTTCAGATGTTTTAGAAATTAAATATTTGCATGCTTACTGTGCTTTGTTTTAATTTAACACGTTTAGAGTGTCCAGTGAGCATTTCAAATGCGCTTTCTATGTAAAGAATCTGTCTTCATGTTTCATCTAAATGTTTTAACATCCAAGAGTACCCAGAAAAAGAGCTCTGAGCTATCAAACTATCTAACCAATTCACTTCTAGTGACTTTGGTCCTTCCTGCTGTGGTTGCCATAGTACATTTTTGAAAGTGAATATCATACCACTATCTTTTCTGCCCGTTTCATGATGCTGTGATGGAAATCTATCTTTATGAAATTAAGAATCTGTGATATTGTGTTCTAAAAAGTAAGGCTTTGTCATTTACTTAGTCATTTGAATCATCATAATTTGTAATTAATTTCTAATGTTAAGAATGTTTGCTAGTTAGCTCCTCCTTTGTGCATTTTGTCTCCTCTTAACCAGCCCTATCCTCCATTCTCATGTTCGCTTTTTGAACTCCCACCAGCCTCCCCTTCAAATTTGGAACCACCTAAAATTCAACAGCTCCCATTCTGCCTCCAAAAGCTTCATGTTCGTTCATCTTGATTGTGCTTCAGTATATTTCGAGGTTATTGGCATAGATCCATGATATGCTTATCCTAGATTTCATTCTTTGGTCAATTGTGCTTCTCTGTTTGTCTTTTAACTTTATGTTCTCTCTCCTTGGATTATTACCTGTGTGTTATGAAATTAATTTGACATCATTTCTGCCATCACTTTATTGTGCATAAGTGTTTTCATTGAATATTATTGTATTTCTAGGTTTAACTGCGTACAGTTATCTTCCAAAATCAAGAGGATTACATTTACATTTGTAGCTGAATCTGTTTTATTGTTTGATGAGATGAAGAAAAGCAACTTGCTTAATAATTTTACAAATTGATAATCAATTTAGGACTGTGTTTTTGTGATGACTTTCTGTAAAAATACTTTATTTTGAACAGCTGAGGCATGTACATGGGAGAATGTGTGAAGATTTCGGACTTCATTTGTGAGACAGTGGTTTTGTGTAACTATTGATCACATTCAGAGCTCTTATTATTATTCTACATAACCAGCAATTAAAGACAAATAGATTGATAGCAGAAGCTATCTATGGCATTTATTGAAAAGGCTGTGAGCTTGTTATGTTGGCACGTTCTGAATTTTTTTGTGCTGATAGGATGTACAGTATTTTTTATACCAGGATGTAAATGCCCTTTTAGCAGAGGCCAGTAATTTGGTAATGTCTCACCCCCCAGCTTTTCTTCCATTGTACCTACAATTTATGGACATCACATTTCTTGTTTCAAACATTGACATACAAATTTATGAAATCTTTGTTTTTAAATTAGTCCTGTACATATTTTCATAGCCTCTGGGGTTTATTTTAAACCCAGTTGCACACAGAACTGAGATCAATTCAAGTCATTTGTGCCTGTATTTTTATTTTTCATGTATTGCTGAAGCAATTATCATTAGTGCATGATTATTTTGTTACATCAAGGTTTCATAATTGTCCATAAATATTTTGTAAAATACAGTCCTGACAGAAGGTGCATGTCTGGACTGTGGCAGGAACCATTGATTGCTTGGCCCACTTTTGCAAGCTTAGATTTAAGTTTCATGTATCATTCAAGATGTAATTATTTGACAATAAATGTTCATATATAATTCCAATTTTGTTTCTGATATACATTTTTACAGCTGTTTTAATCTTCTGCCTCTACCCTCCTGAGGTTGAAATGAAGGTAATTGATGAAATTGATATCATGGCATCTATTGTCACCAGCTAACGCTGCGGGTGAATTCTATTCTGGCGACTGGACACTCAACTCTTGAAATTGAGTTATTAAAGTTTGCACTTTGATTGTGCTTTGATCTTTAGAAGTAGAAAAGTTTTTTCATGAGACTATTTTGCATGCGTCTTATGTAGTTAGAAATGCTTATTCTGCTGTTTGGGCTGTGGTGTGCCAAAAATAATTTTCTTGAAGACTGTTAATTTAGACTTTTGGTTAAATTATTTTTGATGATAACTTGTCATTTAATTTTTTTGAGGAAGCTATTAACAATTGGGGGGTGTGGCTCAGCTGCTCTGAAACATCCAGCATGACGTGCCTAATGAAATTGGTCTGTTATTTCAGCCTGTCGACTCAACCATGCACAAGTCGGCCAGCTGCACCAGCCTGGACTCGGGAAAGGAGTCGGCGTGCGACGACCAGCTGTCGCGTCCCGACCACCTCCACCACCTCTCGGACCACGGGCACGGGGCGGAGAAGGACAAGCTGACGCTGTGCTTGAAGGAGAGCGCGCTCTCGCCGCACTCGCCTGACAGCGGTGCCAGTGGTTCCAGCGAGTCGCCCCCGACCGAGGCCGCCGCCGTGAGCGTGATCCTCGCTCTGTCGCACTCGCAGGCCCAACCCCAACCCCAACCTCAACCGGAGCCTCGAACCGACCCCGAACCTGAACCCGCACAACCCGAACCTCAGCTCGAGGCTCAGCCGCCATCACAGCCCCCACCCCAAGTCCAGCCCCAACCTCAACCTGAGGCCCTTTTCCAGGCCAGCCTGCGGCCTGCCTCGCATACTGAATCCTCCTTGCCCTTATCAGGACTGAAACGCTCTCACCATTCCATAGACGAGGCTCTGTCTTCGGCACAGTGTGTAGCCACTGCAGTTCTGTCTGGCAACGATATCGCAGACAAGAATAAGAATGCTCCTGTTGTCAGAAATCAAGTAGCTGCCCTCGAGGTCGAACAGTATTCTAGGAGTAGTTCACTTGAGGGTGTTTGTGATTTACGTCAAAAACAGACACCAGACTTGGTGCTTGACCTGCCACTTCGACTCAACTCTAGTTCAAACGGTCACAGTGCGTCTGTTGCTGAAGAGAAAGATCTTGATTCACACGCGATTCCAAGTCCTACAGGTCCAGAGAGTCCTGATATGACTACAGCTGCAGAACGTTTTGCAAAGCAAAATCAGTGTACCTTGAAGAAGAACACAAAAGCTTCTCAAAGTTTAGGCTCTCCACTGGAGAGTAAGTCTAGCTCTACATCTCACAGTTCCCCACGACATTCAAAGTCTGTTGACTGCCAGAGTGAGAAAGATGTAAAATCCGGTGTATTTTGTTTAACAAAACAATCTTCAGCTTCAGCTGCTATTCCTAGTGACACTGACAAAAAGCCTCTTGGATCCTCTTTCAAACCACCTCTCAAAGCAAAGCCACAAATCATGAAAAAACCTCTCATCCCTGTGTCTACGGTACCAGTGCCTCCCAATCCGGTGTCAAAAGATTCTGATCATACTTCATCGGCACCAGAAAGTGCCAGTTAAGCATGTTCAGTTAGTTTTCTAATTTGGCATTCTAAGCAGTCCTTTATAGTGTGTATTATTTAACTAAGTAGGCTATTCCAATCAAATATAGATTTTATTCCATTTTGCATGTGTGCACATAATGCATAGAAATTTCAGTGTTCAACTTTTATTTTGTAAAAGAATTTTGAACTAATTTTTATCCATTAGGTTTTGAGACTGATTTTTTTGTATAGTGTATGAGAACTCATTTCATAACTTAATTTGGTTAGATTTTTTTTACTTCTCTTGTCTTAAAACTTAATTGAGAATGTGAAAGCAGGGCAATAATGAAGGGGATGCCTGATTTGTCTGAGGTGTGTTTATTCGACTGCACCAAACCTAAGTTAATAATGAAGAGCGTTATTTCGGGCCCCTTTTACAGCAATGCTTTGTTTTGTTGAAATGTTGTACTATTTTTGCAGTTTTGCTGCATTTTACCTCTGTTTAAAATGCAATTAAGTTGTACTTTAACTTTTCTTTGAATTGTTTTTATGGAATCTTTTGATCATGAGCTTGCGACAAATTGTACTAATGTAGGTCGTTCTATGCCTCTATTTTCACATGTAACAATTGTGTTGTTTGAAAATTGTTAAAAAGGTTGGTAGTTTTGATTACAGATTCCTTTTATGTTCATCTTTGAATGATAGGTTTTTCTGATATGGTGTGCTACATGTTGTGAGTTCAGCTGATTTGGACCATGGTAAATCTTCAAATGTAAACTCTTAAGGAAGAGAAACAGAATTTAAATCAGGTGTGAAAATTAGTTCATCACCTGTTTTGAGAGAATTCACTTGAGTTGATCATATGACTTTCCTTGTTAATATCTCAGAGTGCATTTTTGCTAATGTGCTCAATGAACAATAAATTTGTGATGAAGGGACCTTATGCAAACATTTCTGGCTTTGCATCCAGTTGGCATCCAGAGGAGTGATTCTGCCTCGATTCTGCCCTCTTTATGTATGTTAATTGTAACAATGGTTGTAATGGAAACCTGTTTTGACTTTGTTTTAACAACAAATCTAATGTGTACAGAAAAGATATGTATTTATGGGCTAGAGAAAGGTCATAATGGTCCACGTTTTGGAATGTATTATTTTTCTCTGAATGAATATTCCTAAATTAATGCGGTCATATTGCTTAGATTAACATTTTATTACTTTCACAAGACTGACTTCATGATGTAGAAAGTGAGAATAATTTTGATTTGTATGTATCGAGTTAAGTATTTTCAATGTTGTGAAAGTCACACGTTTTTTGTTGTTGTTTGAAAAAATATTATTGTGATTGATACTAGTTTTCATTTGTGATTGCATGTATACCACTTACTTATGTAATGGTTGTATTGTTCAAACATATACTTTCATGTACAGTACTAATGCTTATGATACCTGGGTTTTCTGAATGTTAATGTAGCTTTCAGCTGGTTGAGTACTGGCATTACTTTGATACTTTGTCCGTCGTTACTCAAAGTTTTGCTCATCATAAACCAAAGAGACGAAGGCATGTGATATCATCCGTTATGAATGTGAAATTGTTTGTGAAATTCAGCCCTAATCAAATTATCAATACAAATGTGCAATAGCAATTTATTTTACTTTCGACTTATTTTTTTCAAATATTTCATGCCTCTCTACTTTTATTATTGTGATATTTGTTGCGTGCATTTCAGAACCAGCAGAACTGATAAAACTTGAATTATACCAGTTGTTTGCTAGGGTGTTCAAGGCAGACCACTAAAATGATCACCAAGCTCATACATTCAAGACAGTTCAATTTGTATTCCTCTTGATTTTACTGGCCTGTCCGTCCGGTCGTGGTTCTGTTCATGGACTAAATTGATTGAATAAAAAATTGAAAGACTTGTATACATGTATTCTCTGCATTTTTCTTTCACACCTGACAATCACTTTTTGGAACATCCGGCTCATTGCAGTGAATGGGTAAGGGTCGAAATGTGATAAACTCCAGTGGCCAGCATTTGCCTGTGCCTGAAAAAGGGGAAAACGTTAGTCTGGCTGGGCTGTCGGGGCTGTCGCACTGCAGGGAAGGCCGTGTGTAAGGCACCGCACTGCAAGCCACATGTAAGGGCACCCCAATGGCAGGCCTGATGGGATTCCAGACCGCCCACCGCCTCTGCCCAAGCCTCTGCCTCACTCTGGCTTGGAGCGTCACCGGCACTGGCGCGGCGGTACCGGTGGCGTGTCGCAAGGGGACTCATCATCAGTTGACCGACTGGGTAGAGCCCCTTCGGGTACCTCCTCGCCGCATCCTCGTAAAATACTCGAAATTATCGAAATGGAAAGTGCGACAAGGAGCCAACCCGCCGGGTCTGTGAGAGGCCACGCGTGGCCACGCCACGCGCAAGTGGCGATGGACCATGCCGTGCCATACCATGCCGTAATGTACGGTGCAGGCCCTAGGGCGCCATAGGGCTGGAGAGGCAGGGGAGGGGGCCTCGGAGGGGGCGGGGCACACTGGTTCACTGCGACTATCTATGCCTTTGCCGTGCCGGCGGATGCTGGCTGGCTGGTTTTGCCTGGTTTTGCTGCACCATGGCTGGTGGCTGGTCTGGCACTGTTCGGAATCAGCCTGCAGGCAGGCTGGCTCAGGGGGTCAAGGACGTGTCGGGATGGTATGGCCCGCCTGGCATGGCCCGCCTGGTATGGGAAGCGTCGATGGTGGCCCGGCGGCCCTCCCGGGTGCGGCCAGGCCTGGGCAGGCCGAGGTGGCCAAACTGGATGTTGTGATGATGCGTTGCCCCTTCGCCGTGTTCGGTCACAAGCAGTCTCTAGGTGCTGGGGTGCTTGCAGTGGGCAGGCTGCCTTTCATGTCAAGCACGAAGGGTTGCCTACAGCGCGTTCCACGGGCGGCCTTAAGCCGCGGGGCCCAGCATGAGCCAGCGATTGCTTCAACAAAACAAAACACAAAAAGCGCGCGACCTGGCCGGGAGTCGAACCCGCCCCACCCCGCCGCCTATTTCGTGTGTGACGGGTCCTTCAGCGGCTTGTAAATCAAACAGGCGGCAGCGGGTCCACCCGGCGGACAGGAAGCTGGGCGGTAGATCATGTTCGATGAGCTCAGCGCAGCCCAGCGCAGCACCATCGGTTTTTGTTTTTAATTAACCGCGCCCTGGGCCATCCAGCCATCCAGCCGCCTTCAAGAATAGGCATCCGGCCGGTCCGCCAAGCAGCCAAGGCTGTGCACGCTGCGCTCGCCGTGCCTAAGCAGCCTAAGCAGATCAGCAGGCCAGAAGGGCCAGAAGACAATGGCCGGCGGGGCGGCACGCGCGGATCGCGGCGGAAACCGCTAAGCCTACCGTCTCATTCCGAAGAATCGAAGAATCGCGCTGTCTCTGTCACACTCATGGGGCGTTCCGCACGGGTGCGAGAGAGACAGACACTTTGATGCTGCCGTGGCGGTGCCGGCTGTCACGGCCTGAGAAGGCGGCCCGGGATTTCGGCGTGACGTGGATAAATAAAGGACATGGCCGATGCCTGGGACTCTGAGACACACGCAAACGCATTCCTCTGCTCGTCCTGCTCGTCCTGGTGGTCGTTTCCCCGCCCAATCCATCCAGCCGCTTTATCCACGTCCGCACGTGTCGTGTCTCTCCTCAGAAACGCATTAAAAATAAAATGGGAAGAAATGCCCGATTCTTTCCCTCTCGCACGTCGGATGAGCGGCCCTCCGATTGTCTCTCTCTCGCTCGCCTCCAGATCTAGTTACCGCAGTTGCGCAACCCGGCCCACCCGGCCGCCGGGCAGGTTGACCTGTTGCCGGCCCTTCCAGACGCACGGTCCAAATTAAAAGTGTAGCAGCACTGAGCACAGAGCGGGCGGGGCGGACTCGCGGGCGTCTCGTTTTGCAGTGCAGGCGGGCATGTGTCGGGCCCGAAATGGCATACGATCATGTGTGGTCTAGCCCTTAATAGTAGTGGTAATGGGCGCCTGCCGCCCAGGCCAGCCCGTGTGACACGCGCGTCGTGGGGTTGCCTACCCCCACGGCGCTCCGCTCCGCCGGCCGAAAAGTGGTAGTTTTGGATTTGCCTCGTTCCTGCGGCACCTCGTCGACGGGGACGGGCCGTGACTCCGTGACAGTGGCGTGACGGGGACGGGCCGTAGACTCCGTGACAGTGGCGTGGACGGGGACGGGCCGTGACCGTGACTCCGTGACAGTGGCGTGTGACGGGGATGGGCCGTGACTCCGTGACAGTGGCGTGACGGGGACGGGCCGTGACTCCGTGACAGTGGCGTGACGGGGACGGGCCGTAGACTCCGTGACAGTGGCGTGACGGGGACGGGCCGTGACTCCGTGACAGTGGCGTGACGGGGACGGGCCGTAGACTCCGTGACAGTGGCGTGACGGGGACGGGCCGTGACTCCGTGACAGTGGCGTGACGGGGACGGGCCGTGACTCCCTGACAGTGGCGTGACGGGGACGGCCGTGACCATGACTACGTGACAGTGGCGTGACGGGGATGGGCCGTGACTCCGTGACAGTGGCGTGACGGGGACGGGCCGTGACCGTGACTAGGTGACAGTGGCGTGACGGGGACGGGCCGTGACTCCGTGACAGTGGCGTGACGGGGACGGGCCGTGACTCCGTGACAGTGGCGTGACGGGCGCGTTTGGAGTTTGGCCTGGACCGCCTGGAGGCTGGCGCCGGGCCGCTACCATCCCAGTCAACGCACCTTGCACGAGCTGAGGGGGTAATCTATCACGACGGGTCACTCGCTGATGCAGCCCAGTCAGTCCCTCTCGCACTCGTGGGGCGTCCCGTTTGGGCGCGAGAGAGACAGAGTGACCGTTGGGCAGTGCGGCGCGCCGGGCAAACCGGACCGCGCGGAGCCAGTGTAGGCACAGCCAGGCACAGCCAGCCACAGCCTAGGCGATCAGATGCGATGCGGCTTCATTCCAGATGCCCCATGGCTTCATTAATTGTATACCGCATCTGCTGTGAGGCCCGAGGCTGCCGTCTGATTCCGAACACTGCTTCGTCGCTCTGTCTCTCTCGCACCCCTACGGAGCGCCCCATGAGTGCGAGAGAGACAGAGCGACGAAAGCAGTGTTCGGAATCAGACGGCTACCCGAGGCTGCCTGAGGCGACTCTCAAGCAGCACACCTCGCCTGGATTGGAAACAAAGCAGCGACCGTTTAACAAACTGGAAACCGTTGACTGACAAGTACCAGTTGCACGACGTGTGTCAAAGATTGCACTGAATTATTTTTTTCGTTTGGAAATTTACGGGGAGATTGTTAAGATCCTAGGGTTCCTAGGATTCCATCATGATGCCCGTGTTTACCGGAAACCTGAGTGGATATCAAAAGTGAATTCACACGCTTCCCCCGACACGCACACTCGTTTTCATTCTCTCTTACAACAAGCTGGGGCGGCTCGGCACGACTCGCTCGGTGCGTGTGTGTGAGTTCACTCATCGCATGCGTCGCAGGTTACACAATGGCGCCTAATCATTGAAATTACACCGCTCCAGTGTCGGGACGTCGGGACCGAGGAGCTGTTGAGTTGGCTACCCAGGGCTTGGCACGGCTTGGCACGGCTTGGCTGGCACGGCGGTGCACAGTGGGCCAGAAGACCGGTGGAGGCGGACAAAACTCTAGACGCGTTTTGAGCTGCAGAGTCGCTAAATGGGACTCGAACGGAACGTGTGACCCCACCAATGGATAGCTCTCCGAGCGAGGAGTCCATTGGTTTGGTCACACGTCCGGTTCGAGTCCTGCTTAGCGACTCTGGAGCTCAAAACGCGTCTAGAGTTTTGTCCGCCTCCACCAGTCTTCTGGCCCACTGTGCGGTGCGGGCGTCGCGGGGCAAGGCACGGCCAGGCCAGGCCCGCCCTGCGCCCTGCTCTGCGCTCTGCACTGTCTGTGCGCCGCGCTGGTCCCTCCCCAGGAAAGCCTGCGGCCGAGCCTGCGACCTTGACACCCGCCCGGTTATGCAAGGTCGCAGCGAACCCATGACGCTGTGAATCACCTACCGGGGTCCGCGAAAACCTTTGCCGAAACCGCCAGCGCGGCCACTTTTCATCACCCTGTCTCGCGCGGTCCCGCGGCACCACAAAACACACGACAGCAACGCGCCTGTTTCTTCTCCCTCTTTTCTTTTTCTAGTTTTTATTGTGACCGGCTCGGGTAGGTGCAACGCGTGGCGCGCCCGGCTCCACGCGAAGAAGGACCGAAAACAAACAACAAGAGACGCACTAGGCGAACAGGTGGCGTTTGGAACAGGGACCTGGCGGACGCCCGCCGCGCGGACCGACGGAGAAATATGACCCCCAATTTTGAGCTGTAAAACCGAATCCAGGCCCAGCATTACCCGCCATCGCGCGCCATCGAGGGGGACGGGCATCCTCACCGAGTGCAGCAAGGACCGCGGGGTCCGGGTCGAGTCAGCCTGCGTCCAGGACGCGTGCAGGACGCGCGCAGGAGCCGCCCGGGTCCTGGAAATGAGTCCTGGAGGTGGGTCTGGCCCTTCGGCCTGGCCCTTCGGCCGGGCCCGGGGTCGCGCAACCAGCCAGCCGTTGTCACGGTGACGCAGGGCCACCAGGCTGATTCCGAATCCTGGCGCTGCCATCGCTCTGTCCCTCTCGCACTCACGACGCGATCCGACAGGGTGCGAGAGAGACAGAGTGACACAAACCGGATGACGTCGCCTAATGGTGCTCTGCCCCGGTCCCTCAGCCTCAGTCCATCGCCGGCTTGCCGACATCGATAAGCGATGTCCCGTGTCGAGGGCTTACGAGTGGAGGGGCCCGAGGGGACACGCGAATGATAGCACAAAATGACTTTTGATGGTGAGTCACACACCTGCTGGGACTCGAGGCGAGAGGCGAGTGGCCCTTGAGCCTGTAAAGCTCCAGGCCGGGTGGGTGTCGGCCAGTCCGCCGGCCGGCCTGGCCGCCCTCAGGGTCAGTGGCCCAGGACTCGGCCCAGGACTCGGCCCAGGACTCGGCCCAGGACTCGGCCCAGGACGCCCAGGCAGGCAGGACCCGTGCACTGGCCGCCACGCCGCATGGCGCCGTCCTAGCAGTGCAGTCCACAGAGATCCCCAAGGACGGCCTGGAGAAGCGAAGCCTGGACTCCAGGAGTCCCTGCAGTCCAGGAGGCCGAGGCCGGCGCGCCGCGGCAGTGACCCTCACGACCTGATGGGCCGCCGGTGGCTGTCGGCAAGGAATTCCGGTGATTGCCTGCACCGGGCTGATGCCCAACAGTCTCTCTGTCTCTCTCGCACCCGTGGCGCTCTGGGCAGAGAGACAGAGCGACGGGCGCGGAGTGTTGTTCGGAATCTGCCCGGCCCGCAGCAGGAGGAAAAGATTCCACTATTGCTTTTAGAACGGCGGAACTGACTGCAGCAGGCTGTTTGGAGGAGAATCAAACGGGCGAAGCCGAGGCCGAAATGCCGAACGCCAGGGCGTGCTCGCGTGCTCCTTGATGATCCGCGGCACGCGGCGGGGAATCCTGTCGCGGCGCGTAGAGAAAGACTTTGACTCATCGTCGCGCTGTCAGAGTAAACAGCGACGAACAACGGCGGCTTCTCGTCAGACTCGCCAAAACGGGAACGGGCGGCCGAATCGCGGGACCAAAGCTCAAAGCGCGGCCCGGCGGCCCGGCCCGGCCCGAGCCATTGTCAACTTCCACCCCGCCCACGCGCAGCGCGCAGCACGCCGCGCGACACACGACACACGCGACGCCGACCAGGCCGACCAGGCCGAGCACCACGAGGAGAAAGTGATTCAGAACCGGAGCCATCCAAGGAGCCATCCCGGGGACAGGGGCAGGGGGCACGGGCCGTGATGTTACAATAAGACCGATCCTCGGCCTTGCTGCCTTCCACCGACGTCTCGTCTCTCTCGCACCTAAATGGGACTCCGCATGAGTGCGAGAGAGACAGAGCGATGAGGACGACGCTCGGTGCCCGGCCGGTCCAGCCCGCATGAGGCGCGACGCACCCACCACCACTCCGAACCGATCCCAATCCCACGCTCGGGTCGGGCGAATCCACAACACCATGCCGACGACGGCGGTCGCTGAAATTTTGCGGATCCGCCTCGGCCACGCCGCGCCGCGCCCCGCCACGCCCCGCCACGCCACGCCACGCCGCGCCCCGCCCCGCCCCGCCCCGCCACGCCACGCCCCGCCACGCAGCGGCTGGCCCGCTGGCCCGGTGCCATCCCAGGCTGAGCAGGCCGGGCAGGCTGGGCCAGGCCAGGACCGGCGCGGCGCGGCGGCGTTGCGGCGTCACACGCAAGACAAGCTGTCCATGAAAACGACGTAACGCGGCGAGGAGGACGAGCAGGGAAGGGGAAGGGCTGCATGTGCGGATTGCACCCGGGCGCCGCGGCCGCTGCAGCAAGGATGGCCGGCGGGCTGGTTCCGAGTGTGCCGAGCAGTGGCGCCGTCGCTCCGTCTCCCTCGCGCTCACGGAGCGCGTCTCGTAGGGCACCGTAGGGCCGCGAGAGAGACAGTGACAAGGCAGTAGTGTTCGGAATCGGCCTGCAGGCCATTCCCCGAGAGGCGTTCCCCTTTCGCGAGTCAGCCCTCGGCCAGGCCTCGCGGGACCTCAAGCCTCAGGCCTGGCGGGGCGGGGCGGGGCGGGGCGGGGCGGCCCGATGACACATTATGCGGCTGCAGCCTGAAACGGTCGGCTAGTGACTCGCCGTGCTCGGCCGCCTCTCCTTCATCAAGTACACGACATTCTCCCGCATGCTGATTCCGACCAACAGCGGCTTCTTCACAGTGTCTCCGTCTTTCCCTCTCGGGCGTTGGAGGTCCGTTGGGGTGCGAGAGAGGCAGAGCGACGAAAAACATGTTCGCGGAATGGCGCCCCTGGCGGCAACGGCGACGACGGCGACGCTCTCGCGTTCGCACCCGCCAGCCGCGCGTCGTTGCGAAAATGGCGGCTGCGCCGCGGCACAGTGGGCCAGAAACCGGCGGAGGCGGCCAAAATTCTAGACGCGTTTTGAGCTACCGAGTCACTAAACAGGACTCGAACCGAACGTGTGACCCCACCAATGGATTCCTCGTCCTGAGAGCAATCCATTGGTGGGGTCACACGGTCGGTTCGAGTCCCATTTAGCGACTCTGGAGCTCAAAACGCGTCTAGAATTTTGGCCGCCTCCGCCGGTTTCTGGCCCACTGTGCGCGGTGACTCTGCGAAGCACTGCGAGGCTGGCCGGCTAGGCGGCCCAGGGCAGCCGACGGGGAAGGGACCGGGACGGCCGGGACGGCCGGGACAGGGGACAGGTTTGAAATTTGGCGGCCTGATTGACAGACGACGTGAGCTGGCGGCTGGCGGTCTGGCCGTGACCCGGCGCTGCGGCGGGCGGGCCGGTGGGGTGGGGGAGGTTGCATCGTTTTGGCGGCGGCCGGCGCTCCTTCCAGCTCCTTCCAGCCTCTCTCCTTGTCGTTGTGCCTCTGAGCACCGCGCCACCATCCCGCTTCCTCCCGCAGGCCGCAGCAGCGATGACCGGGCCACACAGTGGGCCAGAAGACCGGTGGAGGCGGCCAAAACTCTAGACGCGTTTTGAGCTCCAGAGTCACTAAATGGGGCTCGAACCGAGCGTGTGACCCCACCAATGGATTGCTCTCTGAACGAGGTGGGGTCACACGCTCGGTTCGAGCCCCATTTAGTGACTCTGGAGCTCAAAACGCGTCTAGAGTTTTGGCCGCCTCCACCAGTCTTCTGGCCCACTGTGGGCCAGCGCGCTCACGGCTCACCTCTGCTCGTCGCTCCGTCTTTCTCGTACCCCCACGGACAGGGACGCCCCGCGGGTGCGAGGGAGACGGAGCGACGAATGGAGCCGTCGGAACGAGGCGACCCGTTGGGAAACGACGAGGAAGGATGACCCGGCTGCGTTTGGCTGACAAATCAGTTTAAGGGTTTTAAAAAGCAAGTTCAAGGTTTGAGAAGGCAGGTCGAAGGTTTGTTTGTGTATGTACTCTTGAGGTACATTCATCGCGCGAAAGCTGTACCCCTGGGAACATTCATCGCGCGATGGCTGTACCCTTGGGGCACGTTCGTCACGGTAAGTTTAGCCATCGCGCGATTCTTGTACTGGCGCAGTCTCATCCGTAGGGGGTATAACTATCGCGCGATGGTTGTACGTTGTACCCCCTCAAATCCAACAGGAAGAGGGTGCAGCGATCGCGCGACAGTCTTACCCCCTACGGAAGCTTGCCGGGGTGGGTACATACAACCATCGCGCGATGCCTTTACCCCGGTTTATTCACCGTGGGGTACATCCATCTACGGGAGTGTAGAGACACAAACAGGGCGGCAGCCTGTCCCGGTCCCTTGTCTCACCAACCTTCTGGCCACTGATTAAAATTCAACGGCCGGCGATTTGATACGCCAGTAGTCCGCGGCCCGGCGTGTCGACCGGAATGCAGGCAGGACGCCCAGGACGCCGTCAAACGGTCGTCAAAGTGAAGGGCCCGGCGGACGCTCTGACGCCCACCGCGCCGGCCCAGCCAATGACTGCGGAGCGGCGGCCCGTTTCGGGCAGCGCTTTCGTCGCTGTCTCTCTCGCACTCGTCGGGTGGTCCGTGGGGGTGCGAGAGAGACAGCAAGGAAAGCACTGCTCGCTGGCCCGGGGTGGGGCTCGGCGGGCTCGGCCCGGCGACCTCCGTGCCCCGCGCGGTCCTCCAGGTCCTCCAGGGGGGCAGGGGTAGGCAGGGGCCCAGCGGCCGCCGCGCGCATCCAGGGGAGGGGGAGGGGGGGAGGGGCCCTGTGTGTCCTGCGCCGGGTCTGCGCCGGGTCCTTGCGGTGGTGGTGGCGGCCGCGCCGGGCCGCGCCGGGCCGCGTGGTGGTGGTGGAGGAGGGCATATAAGATCCTCACTTGGCAATGGCGCCGATCAGTTGCTTGACTGTGTGTGTGGACGCGGCACCGTAGAGGTGCGCGGAGTGCGATGGGTGCCATGAGGATTACGGTGTGTGTGGGTGAGTACAACATGCAACATTAGCGGAGCCGGTTTTCCGGAGTCTGTGTGATGGCTCTGCTGCAACATCCAGTCCGCCAAGCAGACTCGAGTAGCCCATTCAGCGATCATCGACTGGAGTCATCAGTTTCATCCATCAAGTCCCAGGGATTACCCGACTCGGGGGAAATGGAAATGTGAGCTGGGTGATGAGCATAATGGTCCTGCACTACTTGATAAAAAGTTACTCAGTCCAACTTCGGTCTCACTCAATCTGGTCGTAACTGAACAGCGTCTCTTAAAATTTCACTTCACGGTGCGAAATTAGTTTGTCACAGCAAAATCCAGTCCGAAGGTAAACGGGCCATTTGTTTCCACGACTATGAAAGTTAGCAACGCGATCTACTTATTTTCCTAGGTGTCACCAGGGCGCAACTTTGGACTTGGTCGGCCAAGTTTCGCTTGTGTTTACTAATGTGATTGAGTCCGTGTTTCCGTGCCGTCGCCGATCGGCGCGCTGTCCGACACCGCAATAATTCGGCGCTTGTTCGCGCACTTGTCACGGCAATTAAAATGGCGTAACGGAGGCATGCCGCACCGGCTGCATCACTCGGCCCCGTTCGCTGTCGCCCCGTCTCTCTCGCACTCTCGCGGGCCGGGCCGCGAGTGCGAGGGAGACAGCCTGCTGCCGGTGGAGTGCCGCGCTCCGCTTCCGATGACGACCGCCACCTCGCGGGTGTGTGTGACTCTGCAAGACTCTGCGAGACTCTGCAAGACTCGCCCAGAAGTGCAAGTGTGGCAACGCGCGGCACCGTTAGATTTACTCCAGTGTGGCCCAGCCGCGCCGCAGCCGCAATTTCACAGCGACAAAAAGAAATGGATGAAAATTCGGCGCGGTGGAGTCACACTGGTTGTCGGGCTTGCGTGGTGGGCGTGGCGCCGCCATCGGCATCACGTTGACGCGACGGCCTGTCGCTCTGTCTCTCTCGCACTCCCATACGGACACGGGACGCCCCATGAGTGCGAGAGAGACAGAGCGACGGGGGGACTCCTCGCAATGAGTCTGCCGTCAAGCCGCCGAGTCATCCCCGTTTAGCGTGGCTGGCGGTCGCTGGCGGTGCCTCGTCGCTCAAGTAGTGCTCGTCTGTCCACGTGCCGCGTGCTCCCCGCGGGGCAGGCTGGCACAAGTACAAAGGGTTCGAAACAACGCGGCCCTGTCCCTGTCCTGCCCGCCGGGGAGCCCCCCCCCCCCCTGCACGGACAGGCTGTAAAACCAGGAGCACATGAAGGCGGCAGTGCGGGCAGCGCGGCAGGGCCCACAGTGCAGGGCCCGAGGAAGTCATCAGTATGGTGCTGTCCCCCTGTCCAGGCCGAAGCGGCGGAGCAGCGAAGCTTCCGAGTGATCCATAATTTTAGAAAGCTGATGGCAGCCGCCGGGCTCGCACTGAAAATCCAAGTGTGGGACAGGCATGCACTAGATAACGTGGGACAAAATGTCCCACGCTTGCAAGCGTGGGACACGGTTTGTCCCACGCTTGTAAGTGTGGTGGGACACGGTTTGTCCCACGCTTGTAAGCGTGTAACACGGTTTGTCCCACGCTTGCAAACGTGGGACATTTGTCCCACGCTTACAAGCGTGGGACAGTTTGTCCCACGTTATCTAGTGCATGCCTGTCCCACACTTGGATTATCAGTGCGACGTCGTGTGTCAACGTTTTTCTCGTGCGCGCTCAAGACCGTATTCTTGATTCTCGACTAATTTCGAAAAGAATTGTGCTCAACAGAATTCAGGCCTGATCGATTTTATTTTGCGAACGCCCCCTCCCCCCTTAAAAGAAGTGTGTCGGATTTGCATCTTGAGACAAGTGAATGCCATCATAGCAAATAAATTTCTCTAGGTATCGGCCAGGGAATCCCGAAAGACAAGAATAGACAGTCTCGTGGGAGATAAATCAGGTAGAATGCCCTTTGGAACGGCCGGGTGCTGGCGGCGCGTTGGCGGGTAGGCAACCGGTCTAGATTACGGAATGTAATCCGTGCGCCACGAGGGCGGTCCACAGGCGCCGCCGCCGCGCCCCGTGACCCGGAGCGGGCGTCGCCCTGTCTCTCTCGCACTCACAGCACGTGCCGCAGTGCCGCGGCGGTGCGAGGGAGACAGAGCGACGACAGGCGCGATGCGCGGAGGAAAGCCCACTGCCCCCACTTCTCTCTCTTTCCTCTGGTGCTGCTCCTGATGGTGCACCGGCCGGCAGCAGTTCGGATGCAGTGATGGCTCCGTGATGCACCGACCACGCCACTGCCCTCTCCATGAAGACCGCGCCGGCCTCGCCGAAGCATTACACCGCACTTGTGTAACCGCGCGGGGGTCGCGCGTGTAAATTGACAACCTCACCGCCTTCCGCGGGTTCGAATCCCGCCGCCGGCGCGCACTTTCTTCTTCGGCCGTGTGTGTGTGTGTGTAGTTCGTGGAACGCGCGCGTCTATCTCGGTCATCGCGGCGGCGCGCGCCCGTCGCCTCAAAGAACACCGAGTTGCACTGTGTGGAGGCGGCGAGCAGCGTCGCTCTGTCTCTCTCGCACGCATGGGGCGGGCCGGCGCGCCGTTAGGGGTGCGAGAGAGACGGAGTGCAGTGAGTAGCGAATTATTGCGATCGGCGGGGCGCGCGATACCGAAATAATTGGCCAGCGGGCAGAGATTCTCTTCTCTCTCTCTCGCACTTATGGGGGCCGTGTGGGTGCGAGCGAGACAGACCGACGGCCTCTTCGGCTGGCCCCCGTGTGCAAACGCAGGCTTGCGTCACGGCCTCCATGAAGGCGGGCCAGCGCGGCGAACTGCTTCTTTTTCTTCCTGGGGACCTTTGGGTGCTCGGCGTGGCGGCCTGGCGGCCTGGCGGTGCCGCCGTATGTATGTGATGTGGCTCCCATTTTATTTACGGCCTAGACGCCCCTTCGGAACACCCGAGCCGCACCGCGGACCGCGCAAAGGACAAGGCACGGCGAGCGACGAAAACGCACCTGCGAAAACTTGTGCGAGCCGCCACTGGACCATCGGGACCTGCGCGGACCCGCCGTCGCGCTCGTCTTGTTCTACCGCCGTGCCTCGCCCTGCCCCGCGCCGCGCTGGGGTTGTTGGGGCGCCAAGCCTCTGTGCTCCCCGTCGCTCTCGTCGTCCTTCTCTCTCAAGTTACATAAAAATGGAGTCGGCAAGTAGTGCGCCAGTGCGCCGCCCAACGACGCGGCCCGCCCACTTTTACTTTCTTCTGACACTTGTTGGCCCGGATCGGGGCATCATCGCTTTGCTGTCACTCCGGGGACTCCGGTGGACTCTGTGAGGTCGGGCGGGTTGGGCCGGCTTATGAAACGCAGCATCTCCATACCGCCATGCCGGCCATGCCCGGCCGTGCCCTGTCTCGATAAACACAACACACCGCCATAAAGGCGCATTGTCGCTGAGGCAGTGAGGCAGTGAGGCGCTGGGGGAGATGGACCCTCCTTGCCTTGCACGTCGCCGTCGTGCCGGCCGGCCTTACGTAAACACGCGTAAAAAGGGCAGTAAAGCCAAGGGCTCAAAGGGCTGGCCGGGGGAAACCGCCACTTGGCTCGCCACTCCGCGAGGCGCTTCCCGGAGAGGGTGGGGGACTTCCCTGTCAAAAGGACGCTAAAGAGGGCTCGAACCGAGCGTGTGACCCCACCAATGGATTCCTCGTTCGGAGAGCATTCCATTGGTGGGGTCACACGTTCGGTTTGAGCCCTGCTTAGCCACTCTCGAGCTCAAAGCGCGTCTAGATTTTTGGCCGCCTCCACCGATCCTCTGGGCCACTGTGGACCGTCCCATGGGACGTGCCGCGCCCTGAAGGAGGCCCGCGGGTCCTCCCCGGCGAGCTTACGGAGCCGAGCCCCCAGGCCCGGCCCCCAGGCCCGGCCCCGCCTAGTTGCTGCTGTTAATTCATTGCATTGTGGCGCGGAGGGCTTTACTGCACTGATGGTATTTTTACGACGGCATTACCTTGGCGAGGCGTCGCGAGAGGCGTTGCGCGTCGCGGGCTCGGTGGCGTGGCGGTGGCGTGGCGGTGGCGCCAGAGAAACCTCAGCGACGACGGCCTGGTGGTCGCTTGGCGCTTCTGGTGCTGTGCACTAGCTTTCCTCCTTCCTCTGCTTGCTCTGCCGCATTGAATCAACTTAGCCGGGCGCCCTTCGGTTTTTGTTGATGTTGTTGTTGTTGTTGTTGTTGTTGTTGTTTGCTGCTGTTGCTCTTTTTTACAGTGTGTCTGTAAGGATCTGCGCGCACCTGGGGCGGCTCTGGATTACCCGATCCGACACGCCGCGCAAACATCCTTCGGGCGAAATGAGTGTGGCGCCGCACCGCCGCTCGAAATGTCATCTGTGATTAGTTTGGGCGCCCGCCTGTCCGTCTGTCCGTCCGCCTGTCTCTGTCCGACTGCGACAAGGATGTCCTGCACGCCGTCTATATACAATGTTTGCTGTTTGCATTCACGGCGTTTGTCTGTCTGTTCGCGTCACGTCGATCTCGGCTACAGAGCACTGATTGGCCACAGTAACAGCGTGTTGGTTTTGCAGTCTTGGTTTGAACGGACGTGACAACTTCGCAGGTGTGTAGCTGGAGGACCACTCACAGTGAACACTCACACACGCACGCACACTCGATCGCACACCCTTAAAACTTTGGCCTGTGGTCTGTATCGATCACAGAAATCACTTCCCCTTCCCGCCCCCGCTCGAAATAGCCCGTAAATGACGTGCAGGTTCGAGGCCAGCGCTCCACACCAAGCCAGCACCGGGCAGACACGGGCAGACTGTTGTTTTAGCGTTAGCGCCTTCGCGGCACGGGGTAGGCAGCCCGCCGCACTCCGGCGCCTGGTAGGTCGGGGGGTGGCCTACCCCGCTGTTGGCAGGCGCTTTTCCGGAGCACTTTGTCTGGGCTCGCCTTCGGCCGCGCTGTCTCTCTCGCACCCTTACCGGGACACTCCGAAAGTGCGAGAGAGACAGCGAAGAAAGCAGTGTA